AAGGTGATGTTTATATTATCCTTTTTGCACAATCAATACAAAATCTAACTATATTGTAACATCTAACTTTTAAAGAATAAAACTTGAAATTTTATGTAAAAGTAAAGATTGTAATTTTGCATGAAATCTTTTTTACCTTGTTATCTTTATTATCTCGAAACTCTATTTTATTTATTTATATTATTATTTCGTTATTTCGTTCCAACTGAGATGTAATATGATTATATAAATATATATAATAATATATTTTTCACTAACCCAAGTTAGGAATAAAACATGATGATCGGTCGTTAATGCAAATTCCGGACATTCGTCGTTGAAAGTTATTTCCTTGACACGTTCAGTAATGTTGATTAACGGAGTCGATGCTAAATATTTTTTAAATTAGCTAATTCTGGATTATTCAACAATTATAATTATTCTTAAAAATTTTAATTATAATGATCGTATTTTTGGTATAAATAAATAGTAATTATATGATAATATAAAAGATAATTTTCGATAATAATTAATATAAAAATATATATTAATATTTCATATTTGTATTTTGTATTAAATTTTTTAAGACGAGAAAATAATGAATGAATGTACAGAAGACAAACCATCTGGTTTATCTCTTCCATAAGTCCATAACCAGAAATGCACATTCTGACATTTTCCACTGCTAACGGTGACTATTTGTTTAGCATTAGGACTAATAGCAGCAGCTGTGATATCTTCATTATTATGTGGATTAAATAAAGTGCAAATGGAAATCCTAAGAATATTGATAATTCTGTTAATTTAACACGTGAGTCTTAAAGTAATACTCGACATAACTTTGCAATTTCAGAAAAAACAATAATTACCCCTTTTCTGTATCCCAAATCATTACGACATTATCCTTTCCGGAATCCGCTGTTAGTAACCACTTGCCGTTACGCGAAGTTGACAACATTTTAACAAAATTTCGCTAAAAAGAATTATAGGATCATTCTTCAGTATTATTTGTAATTAGTGTTGTTTCGTGGCAAACTCAAACGTATACCAACGTGACCTAGGAGTGGTAACATTTTCTTTAAATCATAATCGTAAATTACCGCTACGTGCGAACAGGCGTACGCCAATAACGTACGCTTTTTAGTAGTTAGATTTATGACCGGTACTTCCGGATTTAATCCGAAAGACCACCGTAGTTTCTGAAGAAAAACAATAATTTTTGTTAAATAAAAAAATGCTAAATCTGTCAATGATACACTATTTTTTTAAATATTTTTTTACTTACGAATGGACAGATATCTTTCTCTGTGAATCCTTGTTCGCGACATTTTTTCTTCACAGTTATTTCAATGCTTTCCGTATCTTCAGTATCTTCAATAGTTTCGGCTTGAGATCGACCGACAATCGACGGAAAAGCGGCAGTATATATCGCCATTTTATAACAAATATCAAATTAGTTTA